GGGAAGAGACGAAATGAGACTGCTCATATCAAACTGATGGATCAGGCTACTTACGATAGCGGAGAGTCAGTTTCATTGCTGCCAGGCAGGGCCATTGAGATTGGACACAGGTAGGGTGGGGACCGGGTACATGATGTACAGTGTGATGGACAGATGAAGTGATGGATGAAAGGATTGGAGTGAGAGAGGGAAAATTAGATAAAGCTTCTATGTTATGCATTAGAGAGTGGCTTCTGACATAAGACCGAAAGCCTGATCTCTAATTTTCATGATTTAAAACCATACAAAAACCACAGGACATCAGAAAACTTGCACCAACAAACATAAAAATACGTAGATCACTGCTAAACTCATGGATATACAGGAGAAAAAGTGCACAAATACACAACTCACACCAGTACAGATTACCAAGTCACACTATCAAAACACACACAATGCCTTTCAAAAGTTTGGAGTCAGTGAGATTGTTAATGTTTTTGAAAAAAGTATCTTATGCTCACCAAGACTGCACATATTTAATCAAAAATACAGTAAAAACAGTAATATTGTAAAATATTATTACAATTTTTTATATTTTAACATTTTAAAATATAATTTTTTCCTGAGATGGCAAAACTGAATTTTCAGCATCATATACAAATACACAGATCATTACATGATCCTTCAGAAATCATTCTAATCTGATAATGTGCTGCTCAAGAAACATTTTTTATTATTATCAATATTGAAAACAGTTGTGCTGCTTAATATTTTTGTGGAAACTATGATTTTTAGGATTCTTCGATGAATAGAGTTCAAATGAAAAGCAATTATAATAGAAATAGAAATCTTTAATAGAAAGATCATCGAAATAGAAACCTTTTGTAACATTTTAAATGTCTTTACTGTCACTTCTGATCAATTAAATGCGCCCTTTCTAAAATAATAATAATTTCTTTAAAAACAATTGACCCGAAACTTTTGAAAGGTAGTTCACCCATAAACCACGATCCCTAACTTGTGCAACTGAGCATTCCCATCATCATTCCCATTTGAAAACCACACAAAAATCCAGCTGGATCCACAGAAACTCAACATAACATATGCTACCACTGAAGACTTCGAAAACCTTCGATTTACATCATCATCAGATCAATACTGTGAAACCGAGGAAGAGTAAGACTATATCCAGACTATGATCAGACATCCTTGGGAAGTCTTTAGCCTCTTGAGCATTAGCAGATAGCACTGGCCGAGACAAGCGTGGCTGTTTGACAGGCATTATGGCAAACGTGTGTCATGCAATTCATGAGAGGAGGGAGAAGACACAGTTAGGTGCGACAGGTCTTACCCAGACAGCTCGCTACCCCTGGCCTGGGACTGGCCAGCAATGGCATCCATAATAGCATCCTGGGAGTACATGCTGATGGGGGTGTTGTACTGCGCATGGATGATGGTGGCCTTGCCTCCAGGCCCCTTCACCTCAATGGGTTTGTTGGTGGAGAGTGCAGTGTCCTTCAGAGCTATTGGGTTGAAGCTAGGTAAGTATTCTTTGCTGTACAAGTGAGGGAGTGGTGATAAGGGATGAGTATGGGTAGAAGAGAGACAAGAGAGATAACAGGGAGGTTAGACAGAGAGAGTGAGATGAAGAGTATGTGAACAGTGAATTGGGAGGGAAAGGTAAGAACCCAGTTGATAATATAAGCATATGTTGTGTTCTGGATGCCGGCGTGCTGGTATTTCAACAAAGCTTCTTGATTAGATTAACCACCAGAAAAACCATGCTGGTCGACCAATTCTGCACCAGCATGGAAATTCATGATGGAAAGTGTTACAGGTGAGACAAAATGAGTTAAACCATAATATGATAATAATTAAATAGGTAAATAAATATATAAAAGGCTCAGTATAATTTTTAAGGCAGAAACAAGACATCAAAAACACGCTTCACACAGCAAAAACTTACTACTGCACACAACACATACAATTACTTATTGTATGTATAACTACAGGAAGCAGAACAACATAATATACTAAACAGGGATGGGAATCAGCTAGAATTTTAATTCCTGATTCTAATTCCTCTTAACCGTTCCAGTTCCTTAACGGCTCTTTTAGTGATTCTTTTAGTAATTTCAAAAAATAAATATTGGAGAAAAAAAAAAGGATGCCAAGATGATTTGAATAAATTAATAAATGTTTAACAATTCTTAGAAAAGATTGTTCAGTACAGTAACGCATACATGTGCAAGAACTGTTAACAGAACTGGACATCATTTAATTATGTTTTTTTTTTTTTTTTTTAAACAAATGGAATTCAATTGTGAATAAAGGTGCATTCATGGCATGTTGGAATTACAGTAGTTAAGACTTTTACTCTTACAACTTGTACCACATGACCACCACATCATCGTGCAGAAACGCTCAAAATAGCAAGGGCTTCAGCAGTAAAATAGTTATGCAATTATTTCAGAATAATTCTGTTTAATAATTCCTATAACTGATTATTGTTAATGTCTTAATAATGCATGAATAATCGGAAAATAAAAGAGATAAAATACAATTTAATGTAGCTATCAAAGAGTTAAATAACCAATATCCCACTAAATAATTAACTATAAACTATAATTATTATTATTACGGCATTTGATTAATGACTTTTAATTGTTATATTGTGGTTTTATCTATTGATTACTGAAATGACACACATTAATTTTGCCGTTAGTAGTGTACACAACTTATAGTCCCGGGTTGTCATCTAGTAAATGTGGTAATTACGACATGGTGTGAACGCAGCATAAGAAACAGTTCTTGATTCCCAACCCAAACACTATGAGTATACTAACTGAGAAGTGCCTAACGAGGACCAATAAAATTATGCCAAACATATTCTCAAAGCTTAACATGAGTTCAGCAAGCAAACCTCTCGAGTCTCTTAAAACACACACTGTAGCACAGTGCCAACTGGGATTCTCATAAGTACATATTCCAAAGATTCTGATACGCTTCTCTGTGTTGTAGTATAGGTTTACATTAAGCATTAGTACATCATTAAAGCAAGCTGTGATTGCACAGGATGACAAATCTCACGAACCACATTTTATACCACAAAGGCAGTTCCAAACAATTCCATGCACGTATACCACACAGAGCACTACAACGTTATGCCAGGAGGCTGTTACTAACTTGGCAGGACTGTTGGTAATAACCTACAATGGGCGAAAGGAAACAGAAACAAGGGCATTGGTTAGCAACTCACATAAACTTAACACTGGTTGTGCCAGTGAAAGTTCATCAAGATGAGGAATCTCATCAGATTTTCAAGGTGCAGTGTGTAATTTCAGAATTGTACAAATAATGCCTGCTCAAACACTTCCTGTCTTCCACAGGATGTCCTGCCCTAAACTCAAGCCACTGGTTGACCCAACATTGACCCAGTCGGGCTGCTCAAATAGACAAATTCTGCTTGTGGCACAGAAATTACACACCAATGTGTGTGTGTTTGGCATGAGTGAAATGACGTGTTTGTGCACATAGTAGCGAGTCGCCTTTCAAAGAGGCAAATAAATAAATAACTGAAGGCGAAAGATGTGTCACTGACCACAACTGGCAAAAGAGAAATACATTTTCATAAGAGTGCCTCCCTGCAAAGATGTGACAGGAGGGAGTGAGGGGGGGTTGTATCAGTGTAGTTAGGAAACTGAACCCTGAAATTCCATGACCTTTTATAGGGAGAGCTGCGACAGGTGCTTTCTCACCCGTCTCTATCCGTACCACTGGATGGCCTGAGATTTCCTCTGTGCTGAGGCACACGCTAAGACCCTTTTCACCGCATATGAGGAAGTGAGTAAACGGAGAGGGGTACAGGACATTGTCGTCCATTTACCTAATCCACCACAGTACTGCCAAAGTGCATTGCTTTGAGGTTAAAACACAGAAGTGAAACTGTCAAACTGGGAAAGTGATATGGTGCATTTAATGTCTCAATACAACAGCTTGCTTTGCTTATCAGAACATGAATTTATGCAGATACAAATCTAGGGTCTGTTTTCAAAAGTTTGTCTGATTTTTAAATGTTTTTGAAAAAAAGTCTCTTATGCTTACCAAGGCTGCATTCATTTGATCAGAAATACAGAAAAATTTTGAAATATTATTACAATTTAAAATAACTGTTTTCTATTTTAATATATTTTAAAATGTAATTTATTCCTATGATGGTAAAACTGAATTTTCAGCAGCCATTTCTCCAGTCTTTAGTGTCACATGATCCTTCAGAAATCATTCTGATATGATATTTTGGTGAAAATTTCTTATTATTATCATCACCAGTGTCTTACTATTATCAAAACAGTTGTGCAGCTTAATATATTTGTGGAAACCATAATACATTTTTTTCAGGATTCATTGATAAATAGAAAGTTCAAAAGAACTGCATTTTTTTTTTATAGAAATCTTTTGTAACATTATACATGTCTTTACAGTTACTTTTGATCAATTTAATGCATCCTTGCTAAATATAATTAATAGGTATTAATTTCTTCCAAAAAACAAAAAACAAATCTTACTGACCCCAGAATTTTGAACGGTATTGTATTTTCCATTTTGACAGCTAATTTTTTCAATCTAACTCCTCTGGTGGATGCATTATCTGGTATTACATGATCACTGTACCTGAAAGAGGGCCGCTTCCAACTGAAGCCTCAGCACAAATTTCTCTTGCACATTCCTTCAGAGGCTTGAAGCTTTAACTAGATCCTCCTCTGGCCTGCTAACGCCAGTGGGGGATAGGGTCAATGTAACAGACGTAACCTCTCTTTTCTGAATGTTGCATGGCTGCTGTCATTCTTCTGTCAAGAGCAACGTTAGCAACCAGGTGGGGCTGAACTATAACTGACCCACTAATTCTAACCTCTTTTAGAAATTCTAAACTGTTAATTTAGCAATAAACACTATATTTCTTAAATAGGATTGGTTAAGGTTTACCGCACCCGGCTGCTAGCGTCAGATCTATGATTACATACCAACTAGGCATGCCTGACCCCGAGCTCTTAACCCTCTCTTGCAGCATGACCATCTCTCGCAATGTCTCTGCAGAGTACAGACTGATGGGGGAGTTATACTGCTGGCTTTTTTGCCCGGAGGTGGATTTGTCCCTCGGAGCAGCTAAATGGCTTTGAGCAGGAACAGAAGCTTCTCCGCTACTGCTCACCACAGTGCTATAGGACTGGTTGGTGTGCTTGCTTGAGTAGCTAGAGTTTGTCTCAGCAGAAGTTGAGAGGGTCCCATTCATTTGCAAAGGCTGTTCCTTAAAGGGGAACGTGCATGTGTGTGGACAGTGTTGAGAAAGAAAGAACAGAAGGAGCTGGTCAGAGGAAAGCTTAGAATGATAACAATTTAACTGTTCACACTACGTAAACTGTGTAAATTAATTTGAAAACTGATGACTTGATGTTTTACTGAAAGCTAAAGGAATAGTTCACCCCCCAAAAAAAGTAATTCAGTCATAATTTACAGTATGCACCCTTGTGTTGTTTGAAAAACATTTTATTATTTTTTCGCAGAATGTTTATTTTAAAGTTTTATAGCTCATATTTTGTATTCATTAAACTGAAGAACAGGAAGGACATTTAAAAAAAAATACCTCCTTTTTGTTGAAACAGAAGAAAGTCTGATCATATTGATTTGTAACCACATGAAGGTGGGAAATGGCTAATTTTTTGATGAAACAACTTATTCTTTACATTCTTAAACATAATATGAGTTTGTACACTACCATTCAAAAAGATCAGTTTTATAGATTTTTTTAAGTCTCTTAAGACATCTTGCTCACCAAGACTGTATTTATTTGATCAAAACACAGTAAATACTGAAAATGTTATTACAATTTAAAGCAACTGTTTCTTATTTTATTATACATTTAAAATGTAATTTATTTTGATGGAAAAGCTGCATTTTCAGCAGCCATTACTCCAGTCTTCAGTGTCACATGATCCTCCGGAAATTATTCTAATTTGCTGATTTGATGCTCAAGAAACATTTCTTATTATCATCAATGTTGAAAACAGTTGTGCTGCTTAATATTTTTGTGGAATCCGTGATCAACTATGAAATTGTACAAATGTCTTCACTGTCACTTTTGATAATTTATTGCATCTTTGCTGAGTAAGTATGTTTTTGAATGATAGTGTATGTACTAATCAGGGTTTTGAAACAGAGGCTTTACGAGCTTTTCTTTTGTGTGACTAACACAATATTTTTAATGAAATGCCAAACTAATTGTTAACCGCATTACATTAACAATGCTGTTAACTTTTTGCTGAGTATGCAAAGTGAAAACCAGCAGGGGGCATCATAAGGCTTTTTACATAGAGCAGAACATTTGTATATTATCATATCATACAAACCCGATTCCAAAAAAGTTGGGACACTGTACAAATTGTGAATAAAAACAGAATGCAATGATGTGGAATAAAGGCATCCTGAATTGAGGGAGAACCAAAGACCAGAATCTATTATCTTACCCTCTAAAAAGAATCTTTAACATAATCCTATAAAAAAAAATCCCCTTTTAACTGTGGACTTCAGCTGAAGCTTGCTCTGAGGCCTAAATTATACTTTCTCTAATTCTGACATTTCATGAACATTCATGTGGAATGTAATGTGGACATTCAATATGGACTTAAAATATCTGAATGCATAGACATATACTGTGTGCAGATGTATGTAGAATGCATGCCAGTGAGTGGTGCATGAGTAACGTGTGACAGACCTTCTGATGGGGGATCACAGGCATAGGGGAGTCAATCCTTGGTGTTGTCATGGGAACTGGAGTGGGTCGCTTTGACCTGTGATAAAATTGAGTAAACATTTGAAGTAAAAGACAGACTGTCTGGATCACATCTTTTATGGCAAAATTGCAATGTCCAGTGGTGAACTATAAACATCTCACGCACAGTTCTAGATACATGATGCAGCCATATACAATCTTGTGGCAAAAATCCACAGTAGAAGCTTTTTTTTTCTTTTCTTTTTTTGCAGCTATCAGAAAAATGCTTTTGTCCAAACAGACTTTGTGCCAAATTGAACCTTTTCAGAAGAACAAAAATCAAAACATTACTTGCCTTGTACACAAAAGTTAAAAAGAGAAAAGAGAAAAAACTAACATACTTTATAGTGCACATTGTTTGAAAATTTGTGCAAAAAGAACAATTGACACAAGAGAAGTTCTTGAACACAGTTGAGGTTGACGACAAAGTAAATAACGTATCTTGACAAGTGTTAAAGTCTATATCACCCTACGTGTCTACTTTATAACAACAACAACCCTTGCAGAGGGAACTCTGGGATCTATTAAGAGTGTTAAAGCAAAGGAAGGATAGTCCAGTGTAATCCCTGCAGGTATGCTCAAAGAGGGGACATAAAGGTGAACATGCCGTTTTTGGGGTTTTGCTCATGATAAAGTGAACTAACACTAAACCTGACTAAGACACATCAGAATTGTAACCTGCACTGGAGAGATCAAGGATGTTTTTACGAACTCATAGATTTCATGTATCTCACAGATGACTGGTGCAGATATGGTCCATGAGGGAGATACACTAACCCAAGCATGCCACTCCCTCTGAATGGGTCACACATCAAACAACACAGAAAGCTACAAATAAATGAAAAAATAGATTTTTCTTAGTAATCTGAAGCTTCATCTATTGATAATTGATATTTGTACTACATGCCTAGAATAAATGACAGATATCCTTTAATCCACTCTTTTGATTAGTTGATCACTTTACCCAAGAGCCTTCAATGTGTCCCAATTATGACTTTTTTTTGCTCAAATCTGATGCTGTTAACATATGAAGCTGTTTACATGATATTTTAAATGTGGCCCATGCCAGACACTGTCTAAACAATCACGTAACACACATCTAGCCTGTCATGTTCATCATAACACCATCAACACATTTCATAATGTAATATGATATCATATTTTGTTACTTGAAATAAGATATTAGAACTTCTTCCAGTCTTCCATGCATTAGAATTAACATTTTAGTTTCTACTGCCAATGTTTAAAGCAAGTGAAAAACATTATTTGGCATCAATATATACACTACCAGGGGCGCCGTTATAGTGTCTGAGCCCCCTGAACAGCATATTGACTCGGGACCCCTCCGCAATTGCGTTCTGCATGGGTCCCCCTCGGTAAAAATCACATTCCGGGCCCCCTCTCCCTCGTCTGGCCCTTGGAATCGTCCTAACTAAATCATCTTTATCAACCTGCATCTGCCTCTCTGCCTGCGTACGTGAATTGGTGGGCGGGGCTAAACAGGCAGTGATGTAGAAGCAGGCGTTGATCATATTCTGTGGAGGCGGTGTTTAGCCACACTATTACGTCATAAAGTGGCACATTCCACAACCTGTCATTTTGGCTTCAATATAAACAAGAAAGTTTCTGAAATTTACAGGATGTTTTTTTTATAGTACAATGACCTCGTATATGTCAAAAGATCAAGGGAATTTTGATTTCTCAGTTCATGACCCCTTTAAAGTTTGGGATCGATAAGATTTTAAACACTTACGTCAATTTCTGACTTTAAGTCTTATATGCTTAACAAGGCTACATTTATTTGATTAAAAATACAGTAAAAACAGTAATACTGTGAAATATTATCAATTTAAATTATTTTTTTCTATTTGCATTTTAAAATATAATTTATTTCCATTATTTCAGCCTTTAGAGTAACATGGTCCTTCAGAAATCATTCTGATATGTCGATTTGGTGCTCAAGAAACATTATCAATTACTTTTTCAAAAATATTAACATATTTGAGGAAACTGAACTTTTTTCTTTTGGATTCTTTGATGAATATAAAGTGTGAAAGTGATGAGAAAAACAGCATCTATTTAAAATGCATCCTGAATGCATGCTGAATAAAAGTATTAATTCCTTTAGAAAACTTACTGAATGGTAGCATATATTTTTACACTTAAAGTGCATCAATATGTTTTTTAAATGCTTTTCCCCCTTTATTTATTACCTTTCAGTGTAATACTTCCCGCAGTGCAATTCATGCATTAATTTAATTGGTAAATCTAGCATACAATTAAGATGAATACAGAGCTAGTTAAATGAATGTAAATAAAGTTGCATGAATTCCGATCTAACTGAAAAGTTCGAAAATCATATCCATATGAGAATAAGAAAGTGATCCAGATCAACTGCAGTGTGAATGTAACCTTGTTTAAAGCTATGCTGTGTCAGTGCTGGGCAGCCTTGAGTTGGAGCACAAGGCAAAAAGAAAATAGCTTATCAAGTTAATTGGTGTATGAGGTTGCCAAGGGATGAATGGACACTCGCCAGAGGCTGTGAAGAAAGATTCTAGAAGCTGCAGCTTCTGAGTGCATGATATTCATTGTCTGTTTTGAAGAGATTTTTAAATGTGTGGATGCTTGGCTATAGGACGCTTGTCTAGTAATGCTGAAAATGAGTAACATGAATCAGCAGCCAGTCTGATCTGATAAAACCAGCGAGTTGTCAGATGTGTCATAACACTCTTTATGTCTTCTTTTTCGACTAACATGAAGGCAATAAAATCACATGACCTTTCCCTGGCTAAACACATACAGAGCTCATCTGAACCCACATAAAATCTCGGTCACATATGTTTGTGAAATAATGAAGCTGCAGTCTGTTTACGGTTCATAAAAAATTAATCCCATGATTGACTACACTGAACAGTCAAGGCCTGCTTTTATTACACTGCAGTGAATGAGCCAACAATAGCATCTACATCACAGTAACCCATGAGACCCGCTATCATCTGTATTCACTATAATTACTTAAATTAATCATTTGCTTGTAGCTACAGAATTGACAGACCACACAAGAGGATGAGAAAAACTAGGCTGCCCCAGAGTTGTCAGTGAAGATACAGAGCGTTACAAATTTATGGTCGCCAAGACAGATTAAATAGCATCACAGTGTAAACATGGTGTAAACATGGCAGATCATTTTATTACTTTCACCAGAATGGAAGAAACCTAAACGGGAATCATCCTGGGATGTTTTCCTTCAGCAAAACTTCCTTGTCTCATTTCAATCAGGACAGATATTTTAAATTGTAATAATATTTCACAATATTACTGTTCTGACTGCACTTTTGATCAAATAAATGCAGTCTTGGTGAGCATAAAAGACTTCTTTCAAAAACATTAAAAAACAATAAACAAATCTTAGTGATCTCAAACTTTTGAACAGTTACACACACACACACACACCTCCAAAACACTAACAATGCACTGTACCTTTGCATGGTGAGAGCCAGATTGAAGTTGGCAGATTTGATCTTGTTTTGGGCCTCCAGGTGTGTCATCCCCTCTGTGCTGACCCCATCAATTGCCACGATGATGTCACCCTGAATCAGGTTGCTGGAGGCTGACTTGCTCCCTGGTGTAATCTGCCACAAACCAAACAAGCTTTTATATTAAATACTGACAGGTCAGCACTTCTGCAAACACAATACTTAGACAAGCTAATAATTTGATAACGTAGGTTGGATGTATGAATAAAACTGAAAAAAAGGGAAGGCTCTGTCATCTACAGGTGCTTGCTTGATACAAGGTCAATAAAATCAGTGGAGGATAAAACCACATTCAAATTCTGAATCCATGACAGCTGGGTGCACAAAGAAATCTTATGCACACATGCATGCTTAGTGCTGGAACAGACAATGTGTTCCTCTTGCTAAAAATAAGACTGGGTTTGCAGAATAAAGTCACGTGCTTAGTCTACAGATCCGAAGACTGAAATAATGTGTATGAAGTATATAATGTAAACGAAACAAAGAACACGTCCGGGTCATATTTCGTATGTTTTAACAGCCTTTGTGAGATTCATTAATACCTTTATATCTTCCATAGAAATTATATAAATTTAGAATTTGTTATATACACTACTGTTCAAAGGTTTGATGTCAGAAAGATTTTTGTGAAACAAATTAATACTTTTATTCAGAAAGGATGCATTAAATTGATTGAAAGTGACAGTAAAGACATTTATAATGTTACAAAATAAATAAATGAATGTATCATGGTTTCCACAAAAATATTAATCAGCACAACTGTTTTCAACATTGATAATAAGAAGAAATGTTTCTTGAGCAGCAAATCAGCATATTAGAATGATTTCTGAAGGATTATTTGACACTGAAGACTGGAGTAATGACTGCTGAAAATTCAGCTTTGCCATATAAAAAAATTCAGCTGAGATATTACACAATATTACTGTTTATACTGCACTTTTGATTAAATAAGATTAGACGATGAGCTGGTTATACATTTGTGTGTGAAAATGTTTATGTAATAAAAACTTAAAATTCTTAATGTTACTAAAATTAAGGTTAATTTGACCTAATTTAGATTTATTTATTTAATTTGATTTTGGGGTTAAATACAACATTCTTGAAAAGTTTAGTGAGAATTTCAGAATTTAAATAAGGACATCAAAACCTATCCTTAACATCACTGGATGATTGACTGATTAAAAAAAATTCTACAGGAACTGGTAACTGAAAACTGTTGCTTTTAAAAGATTGTTCATTTATGCAGACAACTTTTAAAAAATATTTTGAGTCAATTCTTTTCCTCCATGACATACAAAGCATGTTTCAGAACATCATTGGTATTCTGTTATATATAGTAGATACATGAAAACCTTCAGGCTTCACAGATGGGTGGCATTGTGTCATCTCTGTACCATAATACTAGGTAATCAAGATTTAGAGTCTGTTTCTTTTCTTCTAAATCTGGTGAGGGTTCAGCTATGTTTTGAGCCAGAAGCATCTCTTTAACCTGAATGTGCATGGCTGAGAGCCGGCCATGGAGATGTCTAAGGACTGTCTCATTTACAAAAAAAGTGTGAATGCAAAATGAATAAAGCTGATTTCAGATGTGTGCATGTTTCTCTCTCTAATCTCTTTTGGTTAGATTATGAAGTTTTGACACCGTGTTATGTTTTCCTCAGTGACTATTAGTAAATCTCCCATTGAGAAGAACTGACTCTGTTTTTTTTTTTATTTCCATCTGTTTTGAATTTGTAATGAATAAATGAACGCATACACATGTGAGCCAAGGATTTAGACAGAAGTGCCAAGACTGCAAAGCCTATTTCAAGAGCCTGAGAAGTAGACCAGCCATAACAAGAAAATGAGAATTATGTGTCTGAAACAGCATCAGGAGACATACAAAATTAGTTAGTTCCCAAAGTTAATTCCCTTTCAGTCAGTCACGTTCGACATTACGTCGACATTGATGTTAGGGGTCTCACTTGAGAGCCCCAATCACCTCTGAGCATTACAAGCAACAGCCAATGATAAGTGGCGAGTGGAATTTGAATGCAAAGCCACTCCCTGTACATACGGGTATATAAGATGCCGGCGTGCATCCACTCATTCAGATTTTTGCTTCAGAGCCGATCGCTTCGTAAGTGCCTTTCTCGTATGTTTTCAAGAAAGAACGATCAACAAGAACTACGGTCTCTTTGGTGACACTGTCGAGGACTTTGCCCAGCAGTTCTCGGCAGTCCAGAAGCAGATGGAGGCCATTAAGCACATCTTGCCTTGGCGGGACACTCCGGTTGCCAAACCACCGAGATCTGGTTCTTTGTCTGCCCGTCGCCAAGGGCGCCCCCCCTGTGGTGTCAACATCTGCTCCGCCCCGACAAGAATCCAAGGACGAAACTCCTCAGCAGGGGTGTCGAACTTCCCACAGGAAGAGGGTGCAGCCCGCTTCTTAGGGCGCTGTTAAGACTTCCCAGAAGCCCGTGAAGCGCCCATGAGACGGGCGACCCAGAGATGGAAGGAGAAGCTCTTTTGGGGCCACTAACATCTGGGCTCCCACCCCCGGGGGAGGGCCAGGGGCGTTCAGCACCAATGATGCTTGTTCCCCCACATTCTCAATGAAAGAGCAATTTCCTTCATCTCTGGGTCAGATGTGTCGGGATCTGTCTGTGAACGATGCTCTGCTTCCTCACTGTCACTCAGTCTCAGCACACTGTTTTGCTACTCAAGAGGTTGCGGTTGCAGGATGCTCCACTTCCTCACACTTCCCTTGCTGCCTTCCCACAGGAACCACGGAGTAAGGTTAAGAGCTTCTCCTCTGCCTCTACTTCGGGACGCCACGCTTCCCGGGTTGGGCCATCTTCCTCCCCTCTGCTGCCCCACCATGGGTACGTCAGGATTTGTCCCTATGGTGGCGCTTGCTTGGAATTTGGTGGCCTTGACTCTGTCAACATGACAGCATGTCTCACGAACGAGCATGCTCAGTCGGTGCTGAATTGCCTGAATTCGTTCAGGGGGAAAACGGCGGTTCCTCTAAAGCAATTTCAGAGGCTCCTCATGCGCTCTCTTAACAGCTTACCCTTCCGGGAGAATGGAGACTCCATCCCCAGGATGTTCTGGCTGATTTGGAGTCGATTTAGGGAAGCCCAGGTGGACGTGTTCGCTTCCCAGGAATCCTCCCACTGCCATCTGTTCTACTCCCTGACCGAGGTCCCCCTCGGCACGGATGCACTGGCACACAGCTGGCCCCAGGGTTTGCGCAAGTACATCTTTCCCCCAGTGTGCCTCCTTGCACAGACTCTATACAAGATTAGCGAGAACGAGGAGCAGGTACTGCTGGTTGCACCATATTAGCCCACCTGGACTGATCTCATGCTCCTCGCAACAGCCCCTCCCTGGAGAATACCCCATGAGGAAGGACCTTCTTTCTCAGGAGCAGGGCACTATTTGGCACCCACGTCCCGATCAGTTGAACCTGCGTGTCTGGCTTCTGGACGAGAAGTGGCGGACCTCACTGGCCTCTCACGGGCTGTGATAGGTACTATCACTCAGGCTAGGGCCCCCTCTACCAGGCAGGCCTATGCTCTGAAGTGGGGTCTGTTCGTTGATTGGTGTTCCTCTCACCGTGTGAGAGCTCATCCCACTCGAAGTGTTGCCATCTCCTGGGCATTGGTGCATCTGAACATCTGTAGAGCTGGGCGACACCTAATACCTAACACCTAATACCTTTGCAAAATTCTATAATCTCCGGGTTGAGCCAGTTTCCTCCCGTGTGTTGGGTACGAACAGGTAATTTGAGGGTGGAACAGCTCGGTGTCTCGCTTGCAGTGCCATTCCTCTGGTTAGTATACTTGCACCTTATCTTCTTCCAGTAAGTTCCCCGTCTGGTGAATACTGGTCGATTTCCTCCAGCACCCTGCAGCATTCAGACTCAGCAGAGGAGTCTGTTGCCATTTCCAGTACTTGGGTTGCATTCCATTAGTCACCACTTTTACTGGACTAGGTGCCATACATGAGATTCCCTTGATAATCCTGTATGTTCTTCGATGTTACGGTTTCCCTGGGTAAACCCACGTCTTTCCCTGGACCATTTTTACTGTCAGTCCCTGTTGTGTTTGTTAGACTGTGCTGCAACCAGTCATACTATTCACATTCCTTTTTGGATGTGTCTCCGCACCCCAACGGTTGCTGAAATCTAGTATTGTGAGAATGTATACTTGATATGTGATCTGGCTTATGGGGCATTGGGTAGGTTACGAATTGAGGTGCATCTGTCCTGACAAACTTGCTTGTCAGCACCTGCACCTTCAATTTTCATTACACAGTTCTGGTTGTGGCGCTTTCCATAGGTACCCCTAACGTCAGTGTCGACGTAACGTCGAACGTGACTGACTGAAAGGGAACGTCTTGGTTACATATGTAACCCTTGTTTCCTTAAGGAGGGAATGGAGACGTCACGTCCCTCAAGCCTCAACCGTGAACATTACAACGAATGCCGGGATGCATTCTCGGCTCCTTAGCACAAACCTGAATGAGTGGATGTATGCTGCCATCTTATATACTCGTATGTACGGGGAGTGGCTTGGCATGCAAATTCCACTCACCAATTGTCATTGGCCATTTCTTGTAATGCTCAGAGGAGATTGGGGCTCCCAAGTGTCAATGTAATGTCTCCTTTCTCTCCTTCAGGGAACGAGGATTACATAAGTAACCAAGACGTTTGTTGTCAATTATCCAAAACCTACCAAGCAGTAAGATTGCTAAAGCTTAGAAACTACAAAAGACGATTTTGAGAAAAATTTAGAATTTTTATTTTAGTCAATGGGGACTAAACATTTTGATTATAAACATACTTCAAAATAAGTCATACAGGTTTGGAATAACATGAGAGTGAGTAAATGATGACAGAATTTCCATTTTTGGGTGAACTATCCCTCCAAAGTGCTTCACTCTAAGCCACAACATAGAACAATCAAAACAACTAATGTAATGCAATATTTATGCCCATATCTTTAGAAATTCTGTTATGAATTAACTTTAGCAGTAATAATAATAATTATTTGGTTTTCAATTATCTAGATCAGTGTCAGACATTGATCAGTGTCTGCTATTTTATTCTC